GTGCGCCTGCAACTGCGGGCGCATGCTCGTCGTACTGTTGACCAATGGCGAGGTTCTGGATATGTATATTCATATTCTTAAACCGTAATAAACCATACTCTGCATGTCCACTGGAAATTCACGTCTCAACAGAACCCTGTAGCTATCTAGAAAGCCGTCTGGCTTGTAACAGGGGGCATTTGCCGCAATGCCGAATGCGAACTATGACATGCGAAGACCGTCAGCAACCTCCTCCTCGAACACCAAGCGCGGCAACAATACGTCTCCGCAAGATGAAATCATGGAGATCCATAGCCGGGCGCTCGAAATGATTGAAATATTTAAACGAATGTCCGCGATACTCGAGACGATAGAAAGAGGGAGTAAAGAACAATATGATGCCGATCTACGGGCCTCTGCGAAAGAAAATCGGGATGTAGCACGTAACATTTGAGTGCCGGTAAGCAATATTTCCATATCCAGTGGGCTTTATTGCTGACCGTTCGGCAAGGTACGTCGAGAATGAGTACAATGAGTGGAGCTACAAGGAGACATGGTTAAGGCGGAAACACTGCACCCCTTTTTACGTGGTCCAAATCATGTGCCATCCATTCCAAACCTGTGAAATTTAGCCCTGTCAATGAATAACCTGTCCCGATGCTATATATCCCGTTTCGTCGACCGAAGTCTAAGTTTTTCAATCCAATCTTCCACCATGGATGTCAATATACTGTAAAAGTATGATCCACCTTACCGTCCGCAGCTTCTTAGACTGTGCTCCATAAGCAATATTCACGTTCCTAGGGCAATTCCTTGCAAGCTACGCCTCGTGTTGAAAAGAGCTCCTTTGTAGGTGTGGAGTGGGCTGAAGCTAAAAACGGTTGCTCTTTTATGCCTGTTTAGATGTTTTGGACGACGCCCGATAGGCTCCCGATCTATATATGTATATGTGAAAAAATAGTGTTCGGCTATTGATGACAGGGTTGGAATTGTTATCTAATCACTTTGGCATCCAATCAAAGATATCGCATCGTCGTACGCTTTGATAATGGGATTGTATAAACGTTTTGGGTCTTGCGGGGTACCAACGATAATTCCTCTGCCTCCATACGGGAAAAGAATGTCTCGTATAGCTCTGCAGAGAGGTTTGGCACACTCAAATATTGGCGGAAACTCAGATAAAATATCCTCAAACCCATCTGCACCCATGTCGCTTCGCTTAATTCTTGCGATCTCCCTGTAAGTATCGGTGTACCATTTTGTCAGTAAACTGTTGTTCGGTGGAGAAACTTCAACTGTTAAGATGCGCTCAAATCCACCGGCTCCGATGTTGCCTTGTTTGGTATTTGTGATTGTCTCATGACTTCCGGCGCACCATATTTCTAACATACTATTTCCCAACCAGCCATGCAAGCGATACAACGCTCGCAACTGCTTTAACTTGTTCCAACCATGACGGGCACATTGCCAGATAAGCACGTAGAAGAACGACTCGAGATCATGCCGATAGGTATGGTCGATATTAAGCAGCACCTCAATCGCCATGAATTCCATCGTGCCAGTCTGGTGCCGCGCGCCACTTCTCCCGCTCCCAACCTCTTTGGCAAGATCCAAATCGATTAGCATGCCCGAGTGACCGTCCGCCTTGCCTGGATCGGTTATTATTATATTGTTCTCCGAAATATCCCGATGAAGGATGTTCCCATCCAGGTAAAGAGACTGGTGCGCCTTTATTGCATCGCGCAGCGCCGTGAGAAGCTCCAACGGTGATCTGTAGTCATAGATCGGCCGGCCAGCGGGCGAGATCACGAGACACCGGAGGACACGGTTGTCGTAGAGTTCCTCACCATTCTTGTCGAAGAGACTCGGTTTGTGCGCTGACTGAATGGAGAAAGCTAGTTCATTTTCCTCCTGGGTGTCCCTGGATGGCTGATTGGTGGAACGTGATCGTTTGGACGCCTGTATCCCCTTATCCGGGGATCTGCGTTTCCTGGAAGATGACTTTCGACGGATATCTAAGCGGCGCGGCTCGATGAGCGGCTGAGATTGATGAAACGAGGAGGCTGCGCTGGGGGGTGCGCTTTTGAAGTGGTGGCGCTTGTCGAACGTCAGGCCGCAGCGCATGTCAGCGATGCTGGTGATGGTACAGTGACCGATGATCCTTGCGACTCCTTGGACATTCTTTTGACATGCTAGCTCGAGGAGTTCCACCTCCGGCCGCCGCTTGTCCGACACCCACGAGAATTTAGCTACGCCTTGTCCATCGTTTGTGAGAAAACACGTGGTCCCGCGACACACGATGGCATGTTGAAAGGAAAGTATTTCACCCAGCCGCAGCACTTTTTCGTCTAGGGTTCCAGGCCCTTTGACGGTTATTGATTTGTTGCCGTCTTCATCCCTAGCAATAAAACTATCCAGTCCTAGTTCCTCATCACTCATCATGGTGTAGCCAACAAGCACCTGAAAGAACCGTCTTGAGTCCTCGTAGACGTCGATGACGCCGGAGCTATAGGGACCCGAACGGTCGAACACCCACGCCTCCATCTTGGTCCCGCAGACGGCGAACGCGTGGATGAACCGCCGGGTGGGCTGGGCGGTAAAGACCTCGCGCACGTAGCGGCTCATCTGAAGCAGAGTGTCCTTGGTCTTGATCTCCTCCGTGGATTTTTTGAGCTCGCCAACTACCAGGATGTCTCTCCAGTCGTGTTTGTTTCGCGAGGGGGTCCCACCCCTAGCTCGCAAGAGAAGGTCGACTTGCCGTTCCGCCTTCGAACCAGTAAGATCCGCTTTGCTCGCCGTGGTGTAGTAGGTGCCGCGTGATTCCGAGAGAAGGTCTTCTTGAAGACGAAACCACCAGGTGAGGACATTGTTCTGTGTAGGAGGATTGGGAAACTGGGCCCAATTACCGTCGCTGGTTGGGGCCAGCACGCGTCGACAGATGGCATCTGCTTTGCGGCTCCAGTTCTTCTCCTCAAAATATTTCTCAAAGAAGCCCTCGACGTTTCGAAATGTGCAGCCATGTATCTCCTCGAAGATTCTTGGATTCACCAACTCAAGCGTCTGCTCGGAACCTTTCTGCGATGACGAGGTGGATTTGACTGGGGTGCCGTCAAAGGATGGGGGGACGCTCGCCGGAGGAGTTGTTCGTCGAGGGAGGGTGTCAATGAGGGTAAATACAGCTTTCCAGACATCGAAGTTCCAGGGTTCGGGCATTCTGGGATTCAGTGGGAGGCCTTTTGAATAACCCAGGTGCACCAGCGGATGGTAGTCGTCGTACCTGAAATTTCCTTTTGCCTTTCGGAGGCGCTCGAATAATTGTGCAAGATCAGACGCCACGTCCCCATCATTTAGCCGCGACGGAAGGCTGTAGGCTGCACCCTCTCCCTGCAAAGTATAGACGAGTTCGGAAATCACATTTCGATAGAGTGGGTCAAGGCTATCAACAGCGCCATTGTAGGAAATTAGACGCGACTCATATATTCTTTCAGCTTCCTGAAGCGCGTCTCGTAAACGGTCAACTAAGTTGGTTAGAGGATGGTTCTTGATAATGATGCGATCTTCTTGTGAAAGTCCCGCCATTTTGACGGTATAAAAGACTGTTGAGTTGGTGTGAGATTAACTAGGAGCTGGTAAGGGGAAAAAAATTAGGTTGGTATGCTAATATTATGTGATGGGAAGCAAACAGGGAAACAAAAATGCAGAATTGTTAGGAAGTTATGATCTATGATACTCTGCGAGAGAATATAACTCGCTAGGAAAAGATGCTGATATATATAATCAAAGGGAGGATTATGGTCAAAGGGTTGATCCGGCTTGGCTTTGATGCACAACGCGAATGTGGGAACGGATAGAGCTGCCGAGCAAGGAACCAGGCGAAGATGAATCCTACAGCGTAATTATTTCGCGACGGAATGAAGCGCGAACAAAATAGAGGATTGAAATTGTATTTTGCGGAAGTTCGGCTATTCCCGTTTAGGATTAATGTACGCTAACTGCAACCGCTGGAAAAATATTGGTCCGAAGTACAAGGAAAATATTTTCATCCAGCCTAACACTCATCTATTCAAAATACAAACAGTTTCTAATCCTTGCAGCCTGTATCACCCGGAAATCAAAAGCCTGGAGGCGGAGTGACGCGACTTCGCGTGACAGTTGAAGTGCCAACTTTTGACCCACTTTTATGGAAACCATTCTCAACACTTAGCGTAGAGGTGTAGATTAGATGGGACTATCAGAGTTACAAAGGGTTAGAGCCTTGAGATATATGAAAAATCAATATTACAGAGGGTGTATGTCTAGTGCATGTACTGTTGGAACTACGCGGAGCTGTTTTTCCGGCCGAAGTTGGCACCACGATCAAGTTAACACCCACGCGACTTCTGTGATGATTTGTTGGCCCTAGGCTTTCTATTGCGGACTAGCGTACCGCACATATATGCCTCAGCTGTCGACATGCTAGTATTGTTGGGGGTTTAGATTGGTTCGTCCCAGCATGGCGCTGGTGGTGATCGAGCTCTTTTGCCCCAGTGGCCTAACAGAATGTACTGGCGTATTTTCAGTCAGTATCGAACTGCTGGAGCAAAAGCCAATAAGCGAATGCGCGGTAGCATCGAGCAGCAGATCGCCAACCACATTGACTACCCAATAATGATACTACTGCAAGCTACAATTTTGCCCTTCGATTGTCTCAAGCAACAACTGTCCATAATCGATTGTTCCAGCTGCAGTGGGGTTCATGGACAACTAACTTAGCAATACAAGATCAACTGCGGATATTTATGGCGCAGGACGCAATGTGCAGGACGCAATGTATGTGCCGGGATTGTCAGAATGGCATATAAGGAAGCGATCGATGGTATAGACACGGCACCTAGCACTATGGCATAAAAGGGGGCAATTTCCTCAGACTCCTGAGGCATGAACGGGCTGTGTTCGAACATTCAAGCAAGCCTTCAAATCCAACGCTCAATTTCCGTCTCCGAAAGTCTTCACACTTCGCCACCCTGTCTTTGTCCATAACGATGTCCATACCTACAATCACCAACAGCGCCGATATCACCAGAGATGCCAAAACACGTCCAAACTCCCCTACCCATGGGATGGTCGATAATGGGAACAAAGGACCAGTTCCTATTAGCTCAAGGAATGACAAAAAGGTTTCAGAAGAGTATGCCTATAGAATTCTCTCATATATTTTCCTTGCTGAGCGTTGTCAGACCTTCCAAACCACCTCCCAATACCCCTACTCGTCGAACGGCCGAAGATGGGAGCAAGGGACGAGCTTTTACTGGCCCTGGGAGTGACAAGGACGCTCCGGAAGAGTATGTCTATAAAATGACTCATTGTATTTTCCATGCTAACCATCATTTAGTCGGGTAGACAGGAGTACCGAACCGAATCACCTAGAGCAACAGCCCAAAGAGGAGAAACACCAGCTGTCCACTGCCGAGAAATCCCGATTTTGTTCCAGTGAGCGTGAGCAGAAGCCACGCCCTGACTCTATTCCTTCACCATATGATCCTTTATTCCTTGATGATTCAAGAGGTGATATAGATCCTCTCTTTGAAAAGTGCTGAAACTGCTACTTTCCACTTGTAAGTTGCTGTGGAGGTCTATCTTCTTTCTTAAATGAATGTTGAATTTACTAATGATGAAGTGACATGATTGGATCCTCCAGTTTGTTTCAGTTCTGAGCAATAAATCTGAACGCATGCCTTCTCCTGTAAACCCACAGATATCTACCCTTTCGTAAACGTAGTCCCATCATGCAATAATAACAAAAACGCGGAGGCTCGTACAAACATGCCATACTCCGCTGTATGCAAGTGAAATGGTATGTCCAAGTTTCCCGGGAAAACGTCTGATGGAAGCATACGAATATTGAGATTGAATGTGCTGGACGGATACCGCCTTCTGAAAAAAGTGCGGAAAAATTCTCTTTCCTTCCGTATAAGCACACCTGACTTTCATATCCAGCGCCTACAAAGAGGAATATTATTGCAACATGGGCGGTTCAAGAAAGACACTATATAATTCGGCTGGTATCCCAACAGAGATGCAGAAACTTTGATTTCAGCGACTGGCCTTGGAAAAACTATTAATCCGAAGACTCTGAGCTACAGCTAGTAATTAGGCCACAGACGCAAAAGTGAGGGGTAAAATGGCGATGCAAAAGCGCAAAATAGAGAATGAGAGTCCCAACGGTACAAAACGAAAGAAAACAGAAAAGGCGATCATTACAGCCATGGCCCAGGATCGAGGATATATCATCATCCAGCGAAAAAAAAGCAAACTGCAGGAAGACAACGAGTTCCCACCAAAAAAGCTATTCGAAGCATTAGAGAATGAAATCGGAAAGGAGAGGTTCCAGGACCTGCGGAGGAGCACACTGGCGCTGCCTGGCGTTCCAATCGACGGAGGAGAGGCCAGTGAAGCATTGCTGAATTATGGGATCGATGTAAGTGTTGACAATATCGGAAATGATAATTCGAAGCTGACCCTTATCAGTTTTCCGACCCTTCTGATCCCGAATTGAACCCTTTCTTCCAAGATGTCCTCGGCTGCTCTTTTTGCGAAGCAGATAAAGCCATGCTAAAAGTTATATTCTGGGCAAGAAACGAAACCAAGTTGCGGCGTTACACCGCCGGCCGTCCCAGTACAGCCTACATATACTGCCCGGCAACCGCTGAAGGGCTCAACGATGGCAATGGTCTGTTTCGCATTGTGGAAGGTTCCCACAAAATGACGAGGGGCAATATAGATCGCACCGAAGCTACACCGATCTGTCTGCAATCAAATGAAATATTAATTATGTCCGCTGAACTAATGATAGAGTATCCGCAAACCGGGGGAGGGGTTGGTGTCTGGATGCGGGTATCCCGTCGAGAAGGAAATCACATCCGCTAGTATTTATCTTCTTGAGAAACTTCTTGCTTTGAAGAAACTTGAACCAAGCATGGATATCAGTTCTTATTCTCTTGATTGTTACATATCATACCGCCAGGACGGCGGTTCCTAATATACTTAATGCTATACAGATCACTGCGTGCTGAAGAGAGGATTGAAGAGTGGATCGAAGAGTGGATCACAACCTGAACCATCGTAGAGCATCGGATCGTAGGCCATATTTTCGTCCTCCAGCATGTAAAACTGGCGGTACGTCTTGCCCACCGTTTCGTAGTTATACTGTAGAATGTCGCAGATGTCGCGTAGCCTGGAAGCATATTAGCACTCGTCAACTGCAGATTAACAGACGGACTCACGAAATGGATTGGTCACCCAGGCGTTTGATGATACACGGAATAGAGATCGGTATCCACCCGGGTACTTCCTCCGGAGCTGTCCCTGTTATTTTCTTTCGCTCAGTGAAGTGCTCAACGCTCGCCTTAACTGAGGAAATGCGCCCGTAGTAGCTTATTTCTCGGTCGTCTGTGACAGGTTAGCGGTAGTTTCCAGGATCCACAACCGATCCAGACGGAAACGCACTTAGAAAGAAAACCTCCTCCGCTCGACTGCCCCATCCATTTTCAGAAAGAATCCTAATGCATGTGTTCACCCAGCGGATCCCCTGGCGATACACTTGCAGGTTTCTATGCTTAGTAGGACTAATGCTTTGTTGCATTATAGAATCGACGATGTCAACCGATACCCCCATCTTGAGCATTATTTCACAATTTAAGACGACAATAAACTGGCGAAAGCGCGCCGTCCTCAGACCAAGCTTTGACTTCACGTCCAAGCACCCTGTTTGAACAGCGTACGTATATGACTTCGCCGCCCATGTGGGAAATCGCGAACAATTAGGGACGGGCGATGGTGTATCTACTCTCTTCACTTTCACGCTGTTGGATTTTCCGAGGAGTAGATCAATCGCCGCATGGTTTTCCTCGATGGTACTAAAGCCGTGAGCCCTTCTCAACTCAGCCCATTTAGTGATATCCGGGATATCTTTGATCAACTCATTCAATTGTAGTTGCCATCGTTGAGGGGTTTGCTCCCGTTGTTTGTCCGTCTGCTTGTCTGGGTTCCAGAAGATAAACTTGGCTTGTTCCTGGTCTGGTACAGCGCGTACCATGACTTTGCCGAGATGGGGCTATCTCGGTGATGAGGAGCTGGGCAAAAAGTTCGACGACCACGGACCTCGAACATCCGCACACTTCAAACCAAGATCGACCACATCGTCATGGAAAATGCCCCGAAGGAGACGTGTGCTCCTCACCCTGATCGGCATATGTATCGTCTATATTCTCTTCAAAGCCGTCCCTCCTTCCGAGCTAACCCCCGCAACGAAGCCATTCGACGCGCCACTCAATAATAACGACCCTCCCGGGCCTGGCGAGCCCGGACAACGAGCAGAAAATGGCGGCTCCGTTTCCTCTGAACCACCTCCTAAGGCCCCGCCTGCTACGGATGAAATTCCCACCAATGATTCGTATGAATATAATGGGCCGATAAAGTTCCCCTTCCTTACCCAATCGCTGCACTCGAACCAGGCACTCCATTATAGCTGGTATAATAACGCAGTGCTTTTCGCCGCGGCGAACTTGCAAGCTCTTTCCTACCTTCTCCCTTTAGCCTGTGAGATAGCTAAGGAGGAGCGGAACAGCGTGCATTTTGCAGTGATGGGGAGGAGCAGCGTATCGGGTGAAAGGAATACAAATGGGTTAATGGTGTGGATGAGGAGTGGTGTCCGCTGTTTTGGCATGGTGGGTTTTGCGATCATACGAACAATGGCACGTATTTGGAAGAATGTGTTACTAATTATTTTTTTTTCTGGCAAGATGCACGTCCCGACCATGCCTCTACGTCTACCGATGCCCGTATGGAATCAAGTGTAATCACGGGGCTCTCCCGCATTGCCAATACTTTTCGTCCCAAAGTCGTAATTACCCACAGCCATGACATTGATGAAACATTTCATTGGACCGCTGCCAAAGCAACAGCTGGCCGGATCGGAGTGCCTCATATCAGCCTTCCGGCTCGTGGGGGCGATTTCATATGGTTGTCAAAACTGGACTCCCACTCACTTGGAGGTACGTAGGATGTCAATTTTTGAATACATTCCTAGAATCCCTACGAACCCCGAGGGCGTGAAAAGATGATATTTACCTTCATTCAGCTTGGGACAAGGTCGATGTGCAAATCCTGGTGCAGGCACCCCCAGCCTCCTCGGGCTCCCTAACTCGATTGCTTCGTTCTCTCCAAAGGGCAGATTACTTCGGTGATACCCTGGGGCTAACCATCGAGTTGCCGCATAATGTTGATCCTCCACTGCTTGAATATTTGAAATCCTTCCATTGGCCACCGAGGAGCGTGCATAACCATTTCACACTCCGACGCCGAATACAACATGGGAACATAACTTCTGAAGAAGCAACCCTTCGAACAGTCGACTCACTCTACCCTAAAAACCCGGCCTACTCACACGTCCTCATCCTTTCTCCTCAGACGGAACTTGCGCCATCCTATTACCATTATCTCAAATATGCCATTCTTCAACATAAATACTCTCGTTCTGCCAAGGAATCTTTGCACCGATTGCTAGGAATATCCCTCGAACTTCCATCGTCTACCCCTACTATTGATAGCGAACCATTTACTCCACCAACCAGATCCGGCTCCCCTGTCGCCATCCAAGGCACTGACAAGCACATCCCAGTATTTCTCTGGCAGGCTCCCAATAGCAATGCGGCTCTATACTTTGGGGACAAATGGATTGAATTCCAGTCATTCCTTTCGAGTCGACTTTCCAGCGCCCGCAGAGCAGGTTTAAAGATGCACACTAATCCCGTCTCGAAGAAGTTCCCATCTTGGATGGAATATATGCTTGAACTAACCCGCTGCCGGGGCTATTATCTCCTCTATCCCTCTTTCCCCGCCGTCAAAAGCAGCCACGCCGTACTATCAACTATCCACAACGAACTCTACCGCTTACCAGAAGAGCACACCTTGATCTCGCAATCGCCAGAACTCATCTCTGAAAACCCCCAAAATTCAAACAGTCAACAACATATTGCCGATCCCAATAGATCCTCTTCCAGCGGCTCGTCTTCATCGCTGGATATACCACAGGAGGTCGAGCTAGGTTCCGTCGAGCTACCCTTGGCCGAGTCCTCGACCATATCGAGTCTCCTGCAGCAATTCCCCGCAGGACTACCGGATGAGCTATCTCCCAAACACGTTTTGCCGTATTCACAGAAATATCCGACGTCCCCTGACCTTGTTGAGAGGACACAGGCTTATTTGAAGGAATTTCGGGAGAAGGTCGGTGGATGTGGAGCCCAGGTTCAACAGCAGGTGGCGGTTGAGGATTTGAAGGCGGATGATCTATTCTGTTCAGAGGTTGAGGAGGGGGTTGCGTTGTAATTACATAGTCGATTGTCACATCGTCTTTATTTGTTATTCTCAGCGGTTCTCTTTTCTTTTCTTTTCTTTTTTTTTTAACACTTTTTATGTCCTTGGTCGGCGGGCCTCGTCCATTATTATTAGTAACATGGTAATCTTTCTGGAGTTATTCTTGGGAAAAAGTACTAGATTGTATACCGTTTTTCTTCTTTGACAAGCGTTTGGTCTTTTCATCAAGTTGTTAAGCATTATTCCAATAGCTTTTTCTGTTGGGTTCTAAAATATCCCTCTCTACCTTCTACGGTCAATCTAAAGTTGTACATACATCAGGAGTGCTTGCTGAATATCATTAGGATAGTTGCTTCTGACTCCTGCATATTTAACGTACAATTCCCCCATTAACGGAATCTAACACTGGACACTCTGATTTTAAATAAGCCTGCGAGTTGTAACATACCACCAGTAGTTACAAGTTGCACCGCGCTCTCACTAGGGAAAAATTATGAATGTCATGTGATCTATCTAACTAGCGCAGTGTCACTGGTTGCAGGCTGGAGCTCTCTCGGTCAAACATCCTACAAACCCTCCAAAGCTCTTGAGCAATCAATCACCAGGGCACTCCCCACACCTTCTCATCCACCTCCCAAATCATATCATAGCCTTATCCTTATCGACACTTCTAAACTGCCCCATCCCATCCACCGGATTACCTGAACGCGTATTCTTCTTTCCTTTGACCAACCAGACCCGCCATGGCGAAGGATCAGCGGCCCAATGCGGCGGACAAGGGCAAAGGAAAGGTGGACGATATCAGGGAACTAAATGGGGAGAAGAAGGATGCTAAGGATGGCAAACCCCTTGCGAATGGGAAGAAGGAGGAGGGACCCAAGGAAGGTATGGAACGCAGAACAACAAAGCACCAACTCTATCTTATGTTTGTCCCGGCCGGGGCTCGTGGGTTGGAAATGGCCGCATGTTTTCTTGTCTCTTTTTGTTTTGATTCTTTCGTGTTGGAAGTTGACACAATCGTGTGATTGAAACCTTTTTGCAGAAGAGCTCAGTGAAGAGGATCAACAACTGAAAAGTGAACTTGAGATGCTTGTTGAGCGGTTACAGGTTAGTTGCATTTCGTTGGTCGAAGAGGCGCTCTGGGTTCTAAAAGCTATGGTTCTTTTTCTTTAACGCGGCATACGCCTTTGCCAAAATTCTATCTAGGAACCTGATACGTCTCTTTATAAGCCTGCTCTGGAAGCGATTAAGAACTTCATCAAGACGTCCACCTCTTCCATGACCGCTGTGCCGAAACCTCTTAAATTCCTTAGACCCCATTATGACGAGCTTGCTGCGCTATACGAACAATGGCACGCGGGTGATGATAAGGTACGGGATATTTTCCTGGAGTGGTTATTTTGTTTTGTTTGGGCGAACTTTTTTCTTTACGGACTAACCACTGTATGCGTATACAGGATTCACTTGCCGACATGTTATCAGTGCTTGGCATGACATATGGAGACGAAGAGAAGTTGGAGACACTCAAATATCGTCTCCTTGCCAAATCAGACGATCTAGGTTCATGGGGCCACGAGTACATCCGGCACCTTGCTCTGGAGATTGGGCAGGAATACCAGGTTAGGGTGACGGATGATAAGGATGTGCAGGATTTGGTTGATCTTTCTCTATCGCTCGTCCCTTACTTCCTAGCCCACAACGCCGAAGCAGATGCAGTGGACCTCTTGAGTGAACTAGAGATGATTGAGGAAATACCACAGTTTCTCGACGAGAATACGTACTCGAGAGTCTGCCTGTATATGGTCAGCATGGTTAACCTTCTCACATACCCCGAAAACCACCAATTCCTGCGGACAGCGCATGACATTTATATGACTTATAACAAGCTCACCCAAGCTATTGTTATTGCCATTCGGCTGAACGATATTGATCTTATCAAGAAAGATTTCGATTCAACGAACGACCAGGCCATCAAGAGACAAATGGCATTCCTTATTGCGAGACAACAGATATGGCTTGAATTGACACCTGATGAGGAGGAGGAAGGAGGCCAAGAGTTATCCGAATGCCTGCACAATATTCAACTGCATAACCACTTTAAGGCTCTCGCGAAGGAGCTTAATATTTTGGGTCCTAAAATGCCGGAAGACATCTACAAAACACATCTGGAAAGCAATCGAGGATCTGGACTTACTAATGTGGATTCCGCAAGACATAACCTGGCAAGTGCTTTCGTCAATGCCTTCGCCAATGCTGGGTTTGGGAATGATAAACTCATGCTGGTCGATGGCGATAAGGGCCCTTGGGTCTGGAAGACGAAAGACGACGGCATGCTATCCACCGCTGCATCTATGGGAATGCTGCTACAATGGGATGTGGAAGAAGGTTTGGATAAAATCGACAAGTTCACGCTTATTGAGGAGGAGCAAATCAAGGCCGGAGGGTTGCTTGGTATCGGTATCCTCAATTCTGGTGTTAGACTTGATGCAGATCCTGCCATGGCTCTTCTCAGTGAGTCCATCGGCCCTGAGGCCGAGAGTGTGCACGTGAGAGTGGCTGCAATAATGGGTCTGGGTCTAGCGTATGCTGGCTCATGCAAAGAAGAGTTGCTCGAACTTCTTTTGCCCATTGTTGAAGATGTTGCTCTCGATATGCAGATATCTGCAATGGCGGCCGTCTCGCTAGGAATGATCTTCGTCGGTTCTTCAAACCACCAGGTCAGTGAAGCTATTGCGACCACGCTGATGGATGAGGAGCGGCAAAGACAGATGAAGGATAAATGGACGCGATTTATGGCACTTGGTCTTGCACTCCTTTACTTTGGCCGACAGGAAGAAGTCGATGTTATCTTGGATATCCTCAAGGCGATTGACCACCCCATGGCGAAACCTACTTCCGTACTTGCTTCGGTGTGCGCGTGGGCCGGTACTGGTACTGTGTTGAAGCTCCAAGAGTTGCTGCACATCTGTAACGACGTCATAGAAGACAAGGAAGAGAAGAAAGGAGAAGAGTTGGTACAATCATATGCTGTTCTTGGCCTCTCTCTCATCGCGATGGGCGAAGATATTGGACAAGATATGGTCTTGCGACAATTTGGTCATTTGATGCACTATGGCGCCGCAAACATCAGGAAAGCAGTTCCCCTGGCCATGGGTTTGGTCAGTCCCAGCAACCCCCAAATGAAGGTTTACGATACGCTCTCCCGTTACAGCCATGACAATGACAACGATGTCGCGATCAATTCCATTTTCGCCATGGGTCTCCTTGGCGCCGGAACGAACAATGCACGCCTCGCACAGCTCCTCAGACAATTAGCAAGCTACTACCACCGTGATCAGAACTCGCTTTTCATGGTCCGCATCGCCCAGGGTCTCCTGCATATGGGCAAGGGCAGCCTTTCTGTCAACCCCTTCCACACCGATCGTCAGGTCCTGTCGCGGGTGGCTGCTGCCGGTCTTCTTACCGTCCTTGTGGCCATGATTGACGCCAAAGATTTCATTCTCGCCGATTCGCACTATCTCCTCTACTTCCTTGTCACAGCCATGTACCCGCGATTCCTGGTCACGCTCGATGAAGACCTCAAGCCGCTTACTGTGAATGTCCGCGTCGGTCAGGCAGTGGACGTGGTTGGCCAGGCAGGAAAGCCCAAGACCATCACCGGGTGGCAAACGCAAAGCACACCCGTGCTATTGTCGTATGGGGAGAGGGCGGAGCTGGAGGATGAAGAATACATCAGCTTAAGCAGTACGTTGGAGGGACTCGTGATTCTGCGGAAGGTAATGAAATCGATAGAACCCTCAAACTCTTAGCTTTTGTGATGCACAGGATGGCTGACTTGGTATTTGTCTCTCTCTACAGAACCCTGAATGGGTAAGCCCAGCGTAAGGAGGTATATTCTTCCCCTTTCACTATTTCTGTGAATAGCGTGTAATGGGTAGTGCTTTTCTTTCATCATTAGGGAGTGAGGTCCTTCTCCTTTATACGAAGACAGCCGGTTTGGCCCCACGATTTTAAATGGCATATTACTGTTCGTTTGTTCCTTCATCCTTGGTCCTTACTACCGCCGGGGCCATTTTGTTGAAAGTGAGAAATGCGTATGCATGCCGGCTCTTGGTAGTAGAACTTCCTCATGTAGACCCATAGATCTTGTAGATTTTAGAGGGAGCTTGAATCATATATTGATTAACTGCCCCACCAAACCTATTAGGACATCGAGGATATTGTATCCCGGAAACAAATTATATTGTCCAAGAACGCACTTCTCACAGCCATGACCTCGATAATTATTTGGACTTAATTTCTTCGAGTAAATATTTCCACGACCAGTGTGCTTAAGTTTGTTCTTTATTTTTATCGAGTATATTTATTGATAGTCAAAGTAACAAAAAAAAAAAAAAAAAAAAAAAAAAAATAGGGTTTCGGGGTTAGCTTCCTTACCCCTCCAGCCTGAAGCACGATTTTAACCAAAGGGGGAACTTGGTAAAGAAGTTAATTGCGAAGACCAGCCATCCCCATTTCCCTCTATCTCTCAAAGCTGTTGGCACACCCTCCAAAATGAAGCTCGACCCAAAGGCAATGCGGTATCTGGCCGCAGAGGACTTCCGTACTTCTCGCAGCTGTATGTCTACGCTTACCTTCCCTTCCCATTCCGTCCCCCAATAAAGAGCCGTAACCCCGTGTGTACCTCGCTGTTTGTCTTGAACGGCGGGGTAATTGACAAGATGACTCTCATATCTAC